CCCCTTAGATTAGCTATGCTTCAGTCTGATACGAAGTCCAAATCATGGGCAACTGATCCTTTATTATGTCCCAAAGTTCTTAATATCCTCACTTATCTTCTTGATAAAATTAGGAAGCTGTAAAAAAATAGTAATAAATCTGAGAAATATTGCCTTCCTGGATTTTTTTCTCCCTTTCCTTCCTTCACTAATTTGTGTGTCACCTCCAGGTTTGCTATAATTCTTTATTGGATGTTCTTCCAGTATGTACTTAAAATAAATAAATCTCCGGCAGGTTCAGAATACTGGCAACGTGGTTGGCTAGCAATATCAAAAGCCACCCGACTATGGGATGTATTCTCGTTCTTGCTCCTCTCCCACTAAGCTGGCTCCTCGTAAAGTTTGAAACCAATATTAATATTTAACTTTTAACGCGCACAGTCTTTCAGGGTCTCAGCCTGACTTAATTAGCTGACATTTAGTTCCCAATATTTCACTGCACACTCTTTAGAGTCCTTGGGTACTAGTTTATTAACATTCCCTACAGTAGAGTGGAGAAGGCGGTTTCTAGCTTCTTTATCAATTGTTCCTAAAGGCAAAATAATTCATTGCTATGCCATTAGATGGGCCTATCCTCCAAATATGTTTGCAGGCACAGGGAAGAAGACCCCTGCTTTCCCATTTCATTTAAATGAGCTTTGTGAATTGCTCTCTCTCACTCTTTTTTTGCTGCATTTTCCTTGGTGCAAAGCCTTGGCAAAATATGCCTCCAAAAAACGCCGCCCTTACCTTTATTGTAAAAATACATAAAAGGTGGTTCTGCCGTTAATCAGGATCCTTGCAGCAATGTGTGGTGTGAATCCCTCTTAAGCAGGGTAGCTCAAGACTTAGGTCTGTGCTTCCTCGCCTTAGGTAATTTGACCTTGCTCTTTAAAACAAAACAAAAACAAAACCCAACCTCTGGAAAGGGCAGCTGAAGATGTATCTGGGTTTGGTTTTGAATGTATATTTGGGCAATGCAGATGAGTAGCTGGGCTTGGGGTCCCTTTCTGTTCCCCTCCTAAGTGATTAGGCCGGATTTGTAAGCTATACTTTATTTCCTAGCAGAATAATGCAATCTTGAACCATGCTTGGCATTCCTACTCCAGTGTGATAAATCAAAGGTAAATCAAATGACCTTCTCTCCACCCCAGCTCCGGGCCCCAACGATTGACTTTCCTTGTCTTGCAGGACAGTCTTGGGCACTCAAGAGCCAGGAGCTGAAGAAAGGTACCGTATTTTTCGCTCTATAAGACACACCAGATCACAAGACACACCTAGTTTTGGGAGGAGAGAAACAAGGAAAAAAATATTCTGAATCTCAGAAGCCAGAACAGCAAGAGGGATCGCTGCGCAGTGAAAGCAGCAATCCCTCTTGCTGTTCTGGCTTCTGTGATAGCTGCGCAGCCTGCATTCGCTCCATAAGACGCACACACATTTCCCCTTACTTTTTAGGAAGGAAAAAGTGAGTCTTACAGAGCAAAAAAATACGGTACTTTGTGCACCAGGCTTGTGATCTGTGATGTCCAATGTCCATCCACTGGGCATCTCACCCCGGTACTTCCCAAATTAGCTGCTGCTCAGTTTGTGGAGCCTGCTACCAGGAGTTCAGTGCATAATGGGTGACCTTCTGTGCGGCATCACAGGTTCACAGAAAACACTGCTGTGGGCACTGGAGATCTCTCTCTCTCTCTCTCTCTCTCTCTCTCTCTCTCTCTCACACACACACACACACACACACACAGTATGCACCTGGATAGATATCTAGATACCATTGTGCTAACACAGAAACCCTGCAATATTCTGCAACATGAGACTCTCAGCTGTGGTATTTCCAAGGTCAGGGCTGGAGTTTCTCAGTGCAATCCTATGCCTGTTTACTCGGAAGCAAATCCCATTGCCTGAAATGGGGTTTAGGGCTACAGCTTCAGTGTGCCACACACAGCTCCCTTCTCCTATCTAAAATGACCAGAAGCAGAATGATTTCTGCAACCCTGGAGACCTGTTTACTCAGAAGTAAGGCCCACGGGGCTTCCTCCCATGTCGAATCCTGTTTTTCTTTGCACAGGATTCTTCCTTGTCACATAGGTTTCTTTTCTTTTTCAACGCCTAAGCGCACGCAGGCCTGGGTTTACCCTTCGGCAGTAGCATATCAGCCTCGACAGAGTTGTGTTAGAGATCTACATTTGATATCCAGCAACTGAATAACTTTAGCTCTAATTATCTAGTTAAGCTACCATAACAAAACATGCTGTATATGGTTGTGTTCAGTATAATTACAGAGTATTTCACAAGAAGTGCGATTAATAGTATTTCATTACATTTCGATGCGGCTTCCCTAATTTGCAATGAACTTAATGCGTGCAGGATGTCTCCTGTATGAGTTAATATTCTACCTATCGTATGTTGGTCCACTGAATGTGTGTGTGTGTGTGTGTGTGTGTGTGTGTGTATGCATGAGAGAGAGAGCGCTCACCGGGAGACAAATATGAGTAAAAAAAAAAAGACTTGTTATTGAACAATCTTGTTTTTAGGGCTTATCTTAGTAAATAAAGTATTGATCTTTTCCATTGGGGACTCTTGGTTCAATTCCACTATCCGTCCCTCAGTGATATGTAGTGGTGGCAACTCATTCCTAGCAAACAGTATCAATCCACATTAAATATAATATCAGTCACAGCAACCTGAGCTCTATGCCTGATAGACCTGATGCGGAAAATGAAATCAACCATTAAAAAATAAGTGTATGATTCTAACGCTGGTGCCATCTTTGTTTTGAAGGAAAACAGAGACTGGGAATGTGGCCGCTGAAAATGCATGCTGCTCCTTTGAGTTTAGCAGAATGATGGCCCTTGTTACATCATCCTCTCTTGCCTTGAACCGTTCTGTTAAAACAACAACGTAACAAGGACCTGGTGGATCAGGCCAAAGACCAATCTAGACCAGCAATCTGTTCTCATAGTGGCAAACCAGACGCCTATGGGAAGTCTACAAGCAAGCCCTATGCACAAGAGTACTCTACCTACTTGTGATTTCCAGTAACTGTCTTCAGAGGCAAATGGCCTCCAACAGTGGAGCTAGTAACGGTTGACAGCCTTATCATCCATGAATTTATTTAATTCTCTTTTAAAGCCAAATGTGGTTGCCACCACTACTTCTAATTTATAAATATGTGCAACACATATTTTGTATATTTTGTACAACTAGCTGATTTTTTTCAGATCATCTTTCTAACATATATATTAAATTCTCGTGAATTAAACGGACACACATATGTATGCATTAGTAAAATAAATACGGTCAGAGCTCAAAACCATCTTCCGATTTGCAATAATTATAGTGGATTGCCCTTAAGTACTAATTAAGCAGAAATCTTTCGCAAAGCAATGGCATATTATGGAACTGAACGCTACGCAAGCCAGTCCTGAAAACATTCACTTGCAAGTGAGTAACTGCAACTGTCACAAAGGGAACTTACTTCCAAATAAGTGTACTTATAACCCTGATCCTAAATATATGGACATGAAAGCAAGTCTGCTTCCAAGGAATTGTGTAAAGGGCTGCAATATTCAATGATGACTGAGATTCACCAAGAAATGTTGATACGTCTTTAGCATCCATTTTATGCTGGTTATGTGTAACTCGCCCCCCCCCCCGATTAATGCAGCTTTAAAACGAAGGGCTCCAAGATTTTAATTTACTTCTCTATAATGCCATCTGAACAAACATTCATATTTATTTTTAAAAAAATCTTCTCTTGAGATACTCCTAGTAAGAATGCTGCCTGATGTACTTCTGCCATGGAGTTATATATATTATTTTTAGAAGCTCTAGGCATGTCCATCCAAAGTTTGAAGATGCATGGAAACAGAAGCTCAGTGCTTTTATCTGTAAAAAGTGCGTTATCAAGGTACTAATATTTTGATAACAGTGCCCTGTGTGCCAGCACACGACGAGTACCATCACACACACAAAAAGCACTGGTTACACTATTTATTTTTGACCTTTTATTTTTGTCCTCCCCTAGTCAGAGAGAAACCTGGTAGCTCTTCTATGCAGAAGCCTTATTAGGGACACAGTTTGTCCAGATTCTTCATGAAGGCAAAATGATGCGAACAAAACAAGCTTCAGTCAACCCTGCCATCAGTTTCGAAAACATGTTTGACAACAAGAGGAGAAGCAAAGAGCACAAGCGTTTCAATCACTCCCCCTCCAAGCTCTCTCTCTCCCCCACACACATTAATGGTATGTTGTTTGGTAGAAATATAATGTGCTGTATAGTGTAATAAAAGGCACTGATTATCATTAAGCACCGAGCCATTTTCTAACTCTATATTTATCTAACAATATTTTTAAGTGTCATATTCACGCTGTTGCAATAGAAGCTTTTGGGTGCTCTACTTCTTTTGTCCCTCCATCATTTACCTGGTTTCAAAGTCCCGACCTTATTTAAGGCACATGTGGGCCCATACTTATGCCAAGGCTCCCATCACATACCCACTTACCTCGGAGTAAGTCCCATTGAAAGGGTCTTGGTGGACTCGTATAGAATCGCTCTGCAAATTATGCAAACCAATTTGGCTCAGATCTGTGCTGGAGTAACGTCGACTGAATCAATGGGTTTGTGATAAGGCCCTTTTATACACTTCAGCGTATAGAACTGAAGTCATTTAGTAAGGTTTCAAAAGGGGACATGACAAAATTATCTTTAAGACACAACCATCAGTTCTAAAGAGCTGCCCACAAGTTCTCGCCTTCTAACCCAATCAAAACTGCATCAACTTGTCACTGGAGGCCTGGCTTCAAGACAACATATGGGTCCCGGAGACACAACAAAAAGCAGAGCGGGCGCAGTTAGATTTTCATCCATATCCTGTGAGAGTGCCAGTATAGCATAAAAGATTATTTACTCAATAAACGAAGCATAAACCCAGTGTCAAAGTGCTAAAAGTAGGCGTTCAAGAAAACACAAACAAAAATACTTCAGTCAGATACAGTTTTACTGACAGCTGTAACTGAAATGTTGACGATTACTAGAGCAGATGGAAATAGGAGGAAAAAGTAGTGTTTTGAAGTGCTTACACTGTCAATTGGTTAACTTTGTAGCAGAAAGTCTGAAAGGACTTTTGATGTGCAGTCATATATACTGGATTTTTCCATAGAGGGGTTTTTTCAACTAAATTTTACTCAAAGTATACCCACTGAAATGAATGTGTGTAAGTTAGTAATGTCAATTAATTATGATCGGTCTACATGGAATATGACTAGCCTTGCATACAACCCTGAATTTTTCCCTTGCCATCAGAATAGTGCATGCAAACACCGGACTTATTTTTCTTTTCTTCTCTTTGTGAGGGTATATATATGATTTCACCATTCCCCAAACTAATTGGGATACTGAGACCACTTCTCACTAATTAAAATAAACTGATGAGATTTGAAGTTGATTATGCCCCCTTTTAATATATATAAAGTATAGATTTTGGGTAAGTTCTTTCCTTATCTTTGCCCTAAAAATCAATAGGATTCCATGAAGTGTGAAGGAAGCAATTTGACCCTTTCCATTTAATTTTCCATCCACCATGAATAGGGACGGAGTTTCCAGCTCTATTTGTCTAAATGAAGCCAACTGGAAACCTCTCTGTTTCATCTTCATATTTGGGGTGTTTGCTAAGCATAATAGTTTCATGTCAAAATGAAAGTCCTCAAACTGACTGGTATATTCACCTTTGTTATTCAACAGACTAGAAACCATACTAATTAGATAAAATGTATTATTTAAATGAAAGAAAGAAATTTAATGTCATTTGCTGAGGTAGACAATAGACTGTTACTACTCAACACAGACAAAGGATGAATATAAAACTGAGGAAAATCTTGTTGATAAAACATGCCGCTAAAAATAATATTTAAGTACCCATTGTGGATCCAGTGGTTTCTGTTTATGTGATGTAGGTGGAGGTTTACAGGCAATCCCCCCGATTCTAAACTTATATATTTGGAAGTAAGTTCCAATGACTTTAATGGATTATAATTCCAAGTAATTGGACTTTGGGTTGGGGCTGGTGGCTCTGATGTTGTACAATCCAGTTAAGTTGAGATAGGTAGAATTGAATGTAAGCCAGTGTAGTCATATCCACTGCCATGAGACTAACACATAGGCCTAAGCACATTACTCAGAAGGATATCTATTGATAGCGATGGTGTTTACTTCCAAGTAATATCAGGGTCAGGGTCAGTAATATCAGTTGCCAGTCATTGTAAATCCACCATCTGTGACATGTAAGGTTTGTGGAAAGGAACATAAACCACACAACAAGATATAAAGGGAAAGGTAAAAAGTGAATTGTTGACTCCACTCAAACAAAATTAATAAAAATTCACAATGACCAAAAAGCATCAAGAGTTTTCTCCTGGCTCAGATATTCCACTCCTAAACAAAAAAAGTTGTTAAGTTCTGTTGGTTTCAAAAGAACTCATTAATTTTGAAAACAATGAAAATGTGTAATAGTATGAGAGGACAGTTGATGGCTTGAAATAAACCATGTTTAAGGTAGGCATATATAGGTTTTTCATCTTACTACAGTGCGACATTTTATACATCTCCCTTACTAAAATTTCAATGCCGAGCTGTTTCCTTTTAAGTACACACTGTTTTAGGGATGACTATTTTCTTTTAAATCCCTTTATCAACTTTCTACTAAGTTTATAGGAAATGGATTTTGATTGACTTTCAGTAGCCTCAAAACAAAACTGTACACAAAATATATTTTTGGAAGTTATTTTTCCAATGTGGGAAACTTTATACTTCAAAACCTCTTATTTCAAAATATAGACAATATTTTTGCACACTAACCCTTCTTTTTAAAACTAAGGGAGGCCAGCATGTGGTTTGATCCATGCGTAGAACAAACTTCAGTAAGAATTTACCAAAAAGTGAAAAAAAAAGTTTGAGAGTAGCTATAAGTAACAAATACTGAATGAGAGAGGCTTTTATCATTATAAAGTGTTGAAAATCATAAACACACATATTGTGCGAGTTAGTAATAAAATACCATCCAATCAAAGAAAATTATTAGACGCGGTTTACTGGTGCAAGAAGCGTCAGGGGCACACTGATATTTCCCCATTTTGAAACAACCTCTTTACAATCTGATTGCAATTTACGGTGATCACATTAAATTCCACCTTTTCGTTTGTTTTGAGTGCAAGGAACAGAAGCAACTGCCTTATGGGCTGGCTGGATTCTACCTCTAAACAAGAGATTCTGCTATTTGATAGAATTTTTGCTCAGTGATCTCTTCCAATACCTAGAGCACCCAAAATGCTGTCAATGGTTTCTACTAAACAAAGTAAGTTTCTTTAAATCAGATCACTTCTAAAGGATGGTATGTTGAGAAAGCTTCTGCCAAAAAGTTGATTTATAGCAACAGGAACCAGTTGACATTTACTTAAAGTGGCACAGTTCTGTTGACTTCAGTGTGACAACACCAGTGTCATTAGCAGTCTAAGATGAGCCCTGAGCATCATCATCATCATCATCATCATTAAAACTGGTTCATATATTCACAATGACTTGGTAAAACCACACTGGCTAAAACAAGAGATTAACAATACACAGCGCCATAATTTTGCTTCAATCCACGTGGCCATCTTCTGTTAAGCAAGAGTTACCATTCTACCAGTGAGCGAACAAATTCTCTTACTACCAGGCATTGGGGTTCTTGAAAAAGAGCATGACTGACACAACAGTCTTGGGAATAATTTTCACCACTGACCATTCTAGTCCCAGTCCAGTGTCCTCAATAATTGGTGCAGATGGCAACTTTATATTATCAGTATCAAGGTGGATGTCTTTTTAAAAAAAACACACAACAACCCACCATAAAGATAAGGGTTAATGGAAGGCAGAAATTGTAGGGATATTTCACTTGACGTTCTTCATCTGTAATAGCAGCAGACTCCAGTTGTTCTAGAGCTCACCATGCATCTCGGGGTTTGGACAAAGACCTGAACGAGAAAGGACAATGTTCCGTGTCATTAAAGTATTCAACAATTCGATTCTCTTACAATTACAGAACTTTCTCATTTTTTCCATGCTGCATAATCTCTTGGCCACGACTATGCAATAAACTGCTTGCCAGGGTTACAACTATGTAGAATATGCTAAATCTTGACATACATTTTGATCAAAGAACAATGGCAGGTTATAGGTATCATAGAAATCTGTCCATGTTACTTTGATAGCAGACTGATCTTTTTGCCTGATTTGGCATGGCACCACAAAACAGAGCAACCCGGTTTGTATACTGATTGATTCATGTTTGGCAAATCTTCACAACCTTTTTACTTTTGTTATGGGTATATTAATAAATAAATAAACTACTTCAAAAGATGTGTGGCTCTCTGGAAGTTTTGAGCTTTGAGCAAACGGCAAGTGAAGGGGTGTATCAAAAAATATTTTAATTTGATGATGCAATCCGCATTTGGGGTGGTTTCCCTCACTCCGCTATGAACTCTACAGCATTGTCCCATTCTGTGTTTTCCCACTGCACAAACTTCTTCAAGGAAAATAATTGCCTTGAAATACATATCCAGAAGATACTCCAAGCTTAGAAAATGAAGAGTTTTCTAGATGTGGACATATCAAAGTTATCTAAAAATTATGGCTGCAATCCTAGACACACTTACCTGGGATAGGGAAAGAGATTCTTTTTGGTTCGCATTTAAAGGTGAACCTGCCTAAATCTCAGTTTCCAAAAAAATAACAATAATATAATAATTGAAACATAGCTATTCCTCGAAATTTGCACTTCTCTGAATTTTGAGATGCAACTGTCCAACTAAGTCATGTGTACAAAAATGCATCTACTAGGGCAAAGTGTGCATAAAAATGTATACAGTGAAAATAATGTATAAACATGCATTATATTAGGGTAAAGTTCTTTGCACAATGTGCATATTAGGAGAAATTCACTGATGAATTTTCATGAGAACTTTTTTTAAAAATTGCAAACTGATATGGAAATATAAAGATCTGAACGTAAGACTGGAAAAATGAAAGCAAAACCAGAATTGAGAGATTCTGGGTATAGGTCCCATTGAACTCAACGGGGCTTGCTTCTGAGTAGGCATGTATAGAGTTGCATTGTGAACCTAATTATTTGGAATATGTCCTATTGTAATTTGGGCCTTTACTTCTGAGTAAATATAGTTAAGATGGAGTTCTAAGCCTATTATTTGACAAGAAAACTGGGCCTAGGTTACTTGGCAACAGGTCCTCCAGTGAACTACAGTGGGTAAGTCTGGTTTACTGAAGCAAGCAATTTCCCCTGTAAGAACTCAAAAATAGAAATTTCAGTGTCACACAATAAGTAAATGGTTACCAGTTCAAAAGAAAAGAAATGAAACCAATTACAATGGATTTGTTGCTCTACTAAGGTCTTTCAAGTAGGACCGTAATGTTTGTTCCTGCAAAGCTTGAGTTTGCAGAACCCCACTGTACAACAGGACTATAATTAAAGACTGTAATTATTTCCTGGCCATTTCCAAACTGTTTTCTGAAAGGTGAGGGGAGATAATTATAAAACTCCATAAAGTTTCATTTAAAAAATTACACCCATGAAGTGAATACATCTTCTTTATTTTCCGGTCCCAGAGAATATTACAGTGCAGCGGAAACGCTAACATATTCAGGTACAAAAACAGAGCTGTATTATTTAGAACTCTGTTGTACTGCTTTGGACTTGGCAAATCATCCTGAAGAGCAACTCTCAGTGAGGACTAGTCACCTGGAAAGCATCAACTTTCAAAGCTCTGCTGTTAGAGGAATAATAGACATGTTGGAATGAGGTAGAGAGAGGGGGAGTGGAAACATCCAGCTTTCGTAGCAGAATGGATGTATTTTTCTACCCTTGTGCAATTCAAAAATGCATGAATGGTTTCTGCTCAAGCTTTCTACATACATAAATATATTCACCTTTGGGATGAGAATGGAAAACTCCAGCCAAAGAGAATAATTTTGCAGAGCTATGAGCATGTGAAGGCGATTATTACAACGGAAGTCTCTATGTTACCTTAATGATAACTTTGGGGGGCAATTGAAATCTAGAGTAGTGTATTATATTGCCGTGGTAAATCTACTGATGAAAGTCCATACCTTAACCTAGAGAATATCCTTGGCCAGTCTCCTAATTTGAATTTCAATAAACAGTGTAATTAGCTTGGCTCCCTGTAAACAGGAAAGCAAGGATATGACAAAGGTTGTCATTTACGTAAATCCATGCCCTTCCATCCACCATCTTCCCAAAATCTTCTAGACTGTGATACGTAAAGGGACAACTACTCATTGCAAGATAAGATCATAAGGTCCTATAAGATCATTGGTCCTGTGGCAAATCTCAGCTTCCAGCTTACGAAAAAAGAAAAAAAGTATTAACCTGAGAAACAGCTCCCAGTTGCTTAAGCAAAACAGGAAAAAGAACACACATTGTGTGTTTCATTCTTTTTAATTCCCTGTCTGTGAAAAGTGTAGTATAGAGATTTTGAGTGAGATCAAAGAAAACTTTTGACAGATAACTGATCCACGGTTGTCTGTATCAAACAGTTTCATCATTTTAACACACTTCATTTAAGGTGTGTGTGTTTTTTGCTCTTTAGTCAACAAGGAACACAAATGTCATGTAAACATGCAAAGAAATGCCAGTATATCTTTACAGCAAATGTTTCTTGAATCTGACATATTGGTAGCATCAACTGGACAAATTCTTAGGGAGCCTGTGCAATTTTCCTCTTTACCCCTTGCAACAAGACTGAGGACCCTGAATATTTTCCATTCATACAACGGAAAAGATAACACAGTAATAGCACAAGCTATCGTTCCTATGAGCCCCTCAAAATAACATCATATTCTCTGAATTTTGCTTTGTGCAACACTTCAAAACATTTCTGCACTGTCTTTCTGTATTTTGTATTTTCCAGTGAAATTTACAGCCCCACAAACTGCCATGGGCAAAGTCTTTTTGTGGGCCATTTGGTTGACTGGAAAGCGCTCATCTTTCACAAAGCTCTGCACACATTGAAAACAGTTTCTTGAGCATATATCCCCACACAAGCTGCAAACAGATGGGAATGGCTGCCAACATCAAAACAAATTTATAACAAAGTTGTAATGTGATAATAGAGCTGGGGGAAAGCATAAACAAGGATTTCCCCATATTTTGCCACGTAGCCCGGTCTATGCGGTGCCTCTTGCGCAGGGATTCCTGGAGAACTTTACTTTTATACTTCTCTGATTGCCAGATGTGATTCTCCTGCTAATTTGGAATCAGATTCCCTCCCTACCAGAAGCTAAGTTGAGATGCTTCTGGCTTCCCTAAAGCTAAGCAGTTTTATCTCCCTCCATTGATGATGTTGTAGATCTGAATTAATCTGAAAGCTGAATGCCATGGCTTCCCTTATTTTCTTTCTTTCTTTAAAACTAAACGTTTTTCTCTAGAAATGTGTTTGGATGCTCTCTTTAATGTCAAACTTCTTTTCTCCTTCCCCATATGGAGACGGGAGTCAGATAGTGTGGCTGGCTGCTTTCCTTTCTCCCTTGCATTTTGTGGAGTTTCTCTTTAGCATGTCTGCCATGTTTGTAGTCCTGTGAGATTTTACAAGGTCAGGCACAAGGACTGCTCTATTCTTGCACTCTATTTTTCTTGTTTCCTCCCCAGCCGCATCCAGGCAAAAACAGCAAGACTACCACTGCTCTTCTTATATATTTATTTAAGAAAATACCTCTGATAGTTATTTGGTTCCGCGAGACCCAAATGTTTGAATCCCTCCAGCCGACGTGAAGGCCTGCCCCTTTCCCTTCTGCCGTTTGTTGTATTTTGTCACAGTCCCAACTGTGCCTTCTTTGAAGACCCATTGATTTCAGAAGAAATTGCTTCCAAGTAAGCCTGCTTTGAATCGCAATCTAAAGCCACAATTTTATACAGGATTCTGTGGAAATGAGTCCCGTTGAGTGCGATGATAGTAAACCCAAGTTCTCATGAGGCAAGTCAGTTTCCCGGGGTTCTTTTAAGGAAATCAGAATGCCGAGGACAACTTTATACACTTTTATTAAAATGAAATAAAAGTGTGTATACATATGCATATGAATATGCATATACATATACATATACATATACAAACTGACCAAGGAGGCTGTGATTTATGAAGTTTAGCCAGGAGAGACTAGAAAGAAGACGAAAGACTAACTAACCGATGCCTAACCTGGTGCAAGTTTTCTGGGAAGTAAATCTTACTATGTTCAATAGGACTGACACCTGTGTAATTGTGCACAGGCTGCAGGTTTACTAACCTACTTTGGCGTTGGGTTTTCATAAGCAAAAGCTTACTTTGCCAGTTGTCCCAGGAAACAGAATTCATTACACACAACTTCAACATACTTTTGGCTTCAGTGTGACGGCAAATTACTTCACCCTAAAACTCCGGGCAAGTTGAGAGTTAGATCAGTGAGTCAGAGAAAATTCTGCTCAGACCGTTCACCCAGTTTTTCCTTACTCTTCAATGCCCCTTTTCTCTTCGCCTCCATATAGTTTGGGGGTGGGAAATAACAGACTATGGGAAGTGCATGCAGAGTTCTGAAAACAACCTTTAATCTTTGCCTTTTCTAATATTTTAAGAAAAGCAATATAGATGATGCCCTGATCAAAAGAACATCTTGGAATACTTTGTTTTTAAATGATTTATCTGTGGGTGTCACAATGGAGACTTTTTAACAGTTACACTTTTCCAGTCCTCCTACATATTATACTTAAAAACAGAAAATAAACTTCTATGGACACTTCCCAAGTTCTACCAACGTTTAATTTTTAATATCCCTTATTTTGGAAATTAAAAAAGGTTATTTTTGAACCTTACAAGCCTGTTAAATATTATAGTAGTGATTGTTAGATGTACATTTCCACCATACTCTTTCACTCACTCTTTATTCCTAAAATGTTTTTATCCAAAGGCGATGGTCTATGTCACCTTTCCCAACCTGCTGCCACTCCAGATGTTTTGGGCTACAACACCCATGAGTCCTGGAGGGCACCAGGTTAGTGAAGCCTGGTCTAAATCTATTTAGAATTTGACAGAAATGGATTTAGCAGAATGGCCTTCTTGGCCTTAAATATTAATATGTAAAACTAAAAGCAAGGTGGATACATGACAAACATGAATGAATATTCCTAACAGGGAATAATTTATCTGGGCATTATTTCTGTTAGAAACTTCTGGATCACACTACAGAACCACGCACTTGCTATTTAAAGGATGAAGCAAAAGTACCAATTCTTTTTTTGGGGTGGGGTGGGGGTAAGGAAGTCCACAAAATGTGATTTGAGCATGAATCAATCTTCAAACTGCTTAAGGGCACATGGCCTACCAAAATACTTTTGGAAGCGTTGCAGTGTTTATTTGTTCTCGCTCCTATTCCACTGCCCGCTCCCCACTCCCAGGATATCACAAAAGGAAACAACTGCTAAAGATAAAATCTGGGTGCATCCCAGCACCATTAAAATCTGGGGCCATTGGCCTCAACCGGCTCACAATGGCAACCTCAAGTGTTGTATGGGTATGTTGTGGTGCAAGATGTGGCTCTATTTATCTACATACACACACACACACACACACACACACAATCACCTGATTGTCTATTTATTACATACGCATGCACACATATATACACATATATATGTCTACGGAAAAAAACTATACTTGACGGCTTGGCGTTTTAAAAAAGGGTGGCATGACAGAATTTATGAGCAGATTTTCAGTCTATTTAGAGGATCCCACTTTCTGCCCCCAGTTCACGGCAGTGCAATGTCAGTGCATCTTCCACCTACAGAACATTCTCCCCCTCCCCAAGTGCTTCTGCTGCACCCGAGCAATACTACTGGGTTGAGGGGAGGGGAGGTGGGGGGGGGAGTTGCTGTTGAGAGAGAGCAGCACATGTTACATCAGACACAGTACCTGATTTTTCAATGCACAGCTTGTCAGCCAGAAAGTCTGCCTCCTGGGCGATAAGTGAGTATATTTCATCTTCATACTGTTCTATGATAGTTTCACACTGAAAGGGAGAAAAATAGCAGCTCTCCAGCAAAGAACTAAACAAGACCATTTACACAGAGCAGAAAAGGAAGAACCGCCTGACAAAGACTGTTTGGGATTGTTTGCTTGTGAAGCACCCTGATCAATTGTTCTATTTCCCCCCCTATATAATTAACAGTTATATTGAATTTCAATATATGCTTATTTAGGTTCCTTTAAAAAAAGAAAGAAAGAAAGAAAGAAATGCTTTGCATAATGATATTTTGTTAAGGATTATACTTTAATTGTTTCCTCATAATGCAGGCTGCTTTAATGGCGATACAACTGGTTTAAATTAAATATATATATATTTAAAAATGATTATATTCACATTCTTGCCATGGGTGTGTACATGTGTGTGTTTGTATAGATGCACACACGTATGCACACACATATATTTGCGCACACAGTTTTCCATTTTCGCAGAATGCTAATGTTTTGCAAAATGGTACAAAAGTGACAAGGGCGCTGCGCTTGAAAAATCTCTTTGGGCGGTAGGCAGTAAAGCTCTCCTCGGCCATTTTGTCTGAAACTTACAGGTGTAAATGCCTCTTTCCCCAAAACTCCAAAATGTGGCAAAAAGCGGAAAGAAACCCCATCATATGCACTTTAAAAACAACAACAACAAATGGGTTTAATCAGGAGGCGAAACATCCGCCGTGGAGGATGGCCAACTCTTACCCAGCGCCAAAGGTTAGAGTCGGAATACGCCATAACGGGGATAGGGGGGTAAAGTTTTAGCACATTAATTTAAACACAGGATTTTGAAATCCAATAATTTGCTTCAACATGTCACAGGAAACAAGAGCAATTAAACTGGACCACAGATCATATTTCTGGATTCACATTAGTGTAGCTGCTACTATTGCACATGCACCCCAGATCTAAAGACATTGGTACTCATAAGCAAATTCCTTTGACAACAATGAGTTTTACTTCCACATGCTAAGTTTTGGATTGAGGTTCCTGCTTCCCGCTGCCGCCACCACTTTGCTTTAAATATTTTAAAAAACAAAGGAGAACAGTGAGCATTCTCTAATGTACAATGATGCCTGGTACAAGAAAAAATTATGTGTTCTTTCACAAGCGAACAACTTGGCGCTAGGCCATCTTAGACCTTCCCTCTTGCTTCAACATACTCTAGGCCTCAGAATATATGTGGACCCTGTCGACAAGCCCAAGGAAAAGAGAGCGGAGACGCGACCTTTCCCACTCTGAA